GAAAAGGTAAGCGTAGAACTACCATGTGACCCTGCAATTCTACCGCTAAATATATACCCAGCAGAATTGAAAACATACACTGAAACAAGTACACGTTTGCACTTGTACAAACTTGTACAAACAAATAAGTACATCCATGCTTATAGCAGTGCTATTCACAATAGCCAAAAGGTGGAAACAACCCAAATGCCCATTGATGGATGAATGGATAAACAAATTGTGGTATACACATACAATGGATGAAAAGGAATGCACTGATATATATGTAAAAATGTGGATAGACCTGTAAAAGGTTACGTTAAGTGAAAGAAGCCAGACTCAAAAGTTCACATATTTTATGATTTCAATTATATGAAATCTCTAGATAGAAAAACCCATAGAAACAGAATGCAGATTGATGATTGCCAGGGGGTGGGGGAGGGGAATGGGGATAAATGGCTTAATGGGTAAGAGGTTTCACTTTGGAGAGATGGAAATGCTTTGGAACAAGAAAGAGGTGATGGGGCTTCCCTGGTGGCGCAGTGGTTGAGCCGATGCAGGGGACACGGGTTCGTGCCCCGGTCTGGGAAGATCCCACGTGCCGCGGAGCGGCTGGGCCCGTGAGCCATGGCCGCTGAGCCTGCGCGTCCGGAGCCTGTGCTCCGCAACGGAAGAGGCCACAACAGTGAGAGGTCTGCGTACCGCAAAAAAAAAAAAAAAAAAAAAGATAGAGGTGATGGTTGTACAACACTGTGAATGTACTAAATGTCACTGAATTGTTCACTTTAAAATGGTTAATTTTATGTTATGTGAATTTCACCCCAATAAATTACTTTTTAATAAAAAAATAAAATTATGCATTGCCCTGGAAAAAATGTCAGTAAGTACAAAGCTTTATTGCTGAAAAAAACCTGCTACATCAGTTAATTCACACACCTCATTTCTGTAGGTAATGAACCCTTGCCCGAAATCAAGAATAGAGTAAATTTCTTCTGGTTGTTTGTTTTTCTTGTTCATCAGCCTTTATATTAGGAGGACACAAAATGGAGCTTATTTTTTGAACAACCTATAAATGCTTTTTCTTGAAAAATTGAAGAGGGGAATTTTAAACATCCTCTTGGGACTCAAGAATACAGATTCACCACTCATTACATTGATACAGCTGGGACGCACCCAGACAGTGACTAATTTGAGTACACAATTTTAGTTTTTCACAGTCAATGCTGGTTAACTCGATGCAGATAAATAGTTAATCCTCCTTGACAGAGGTAAAACAAGACAAAACTAAACTAAACTATTTGTCTCCATTTGGTTTTAGAATGTCTTTTGGTCTAGATAATGCCCAAGACATTGACTTCAAACAAATTAAGTAAAGCCGGTCTGTGGTCTACAGTATTCTAATTCTACCCTCTCTCCCCCAGGGTCCTTCTCCATTTTCCTGTTTTCTCTCCCTCATCCTCTGCATCTCCCCAGACTAACTAAACTAATATTTTTGTCAGCTGCCCCCAAGAAAAATATATTCTTGCCTTGTGAAAAGCCAAGATGCTAGAAAAGGAAACAAGTTTCTTAAAAAAACAGAAGAGTTCTTTGCATATTGGTGTCTTCACAATAAATAACAAGTTAATGTCTTCTAAGAATAAGGAGCTGAAAGTTTACCTTTCTTCCTTTATCTCTGCCAAATACATGACATTTCTCAAGCATCCTTTTCACAGAAGACATTCGCCTGCTAGAAAATTCTGCAAGACATGCTGGAAGAGAAGCATCTGCTTTCCACATTTGGGACAACTGTAGCTGGTTTTGCAACAGAAATTTCGATATAAGTCCAAACCATTATAATAAGGCAGTTTCCAGCACGACCAAAGTGGGTGCAGCAGGGGGTGAATTGGGGGGAAAATACTGAACCAATTCTAGGATGTGGCCTTAACTGATACTGTATCTCAAATATAATGCCACTTTTTCCACAAGTAAAATTCTACTAAAAAGAAACCAAGAATAACTTCAGTAGCTGAGAATAATCCACAGACATCCTGCTTTGCTCCAAGGTCTATGGAGAAGAGAATGATTTCTGCATGACAACAAAGAAAGTCATTTCCATTCCATCTCTGAGAAAAAAAGAAAACAAATTCAGTAAATATTTTTTGAGTATTATATTAGTTTGCTAGGGTGGCCATAACAAAATACCACAGACTGGTTGGCTTAAACAACAGAAATTTATTTTCTCACAGTTCTGGAGGCTGGAAGTAAGAGATCAAGGTGTTGGCAGATTTGGTTTCCTCTAAGGCCTCTCTCCCCGTAGACGGCCATCTTCTCCCTGTGTCATCACAGGGTCTTCCCTCTGTGTCTGTGTCCTGATCTCTTCTTGTAAGGACACCAGTCACATTGGATTAGGGCCCCCTCTAGTGGCCAAATTTTAACTCAATTACTTCTCTAAAGGTTCTTTCTCCAAATACATTCACATTCTGAGGTACTGGGGGTTGGGGCTTCAACATGTGAATTCTGCTGGGGGACACAACTCAGCCCATAACAAGTACATACCAGGTGTCAGGCACTGAGTACAGACCAGCATTCAAAACCAAAGGAAATTCTCAATACTCTGTAATGACCTATATGGGAAAAGAATCTAAAAAAGAGTGGAGCCATATATATATACATATGTATACATACACATACATATAACTGATACACTTTGCTGTACAGCAGAAACTAACACAACATCGTAATCAGCTATAGTCCAATAAAAATTAAAAAAAAATACAAAGGAAGCTCAGGCGTAATTGGTTCATTTTCTACAGAAGCACAAATCTGAAAAGAAAAGAACTAGCTTTGCCTTTGAAGGTAAGGAAGTGGCAAATGGGGCTCTGGAATGGATTCATATTCAAAAGAGGGAGCTGCACTGCCTGCTGGGAATGAGATCTTCCAGAGGAAGCTCTTCCAGGGAACGTCTATGGTCACACACCCACCCACTCACGCGCACACACACACACACACACACACACACTCACACTCATACGGGCCTCCACGGTGACTCACATGGGCTCTGCTCCCGGCCAGCCCAGCCCTCCGCGGCGTGGCCACATCTCTGATGGTTCCTCTTTCAGACACAGAACATCAGGAGCTCATTCTTCCACGCAGGGCGAGTCATAGGTTTGCAGCCTCCAGGAGTCCTTCAGCTCTGTGACAAGGTCCTCCTGGGAAGTCTGGTTAGTTGGGTTTGCACCTGGCAATAAGAAAACCATACGCCCTTCAAGAGCAGCTTTTCAAACTTCGTCTCAGGCCTGAGATTCTGCGTCCCCTTGCAAGGGAATAAAAATGCCAAGAATGCCCCACTCCCTTAGGAAATATGATGTATCTTTTTAATGAAAAATGAGTTCCCTTCTAATTCGCTGTTCAGAAGCGATGTAATTGGCTCTGAATGCTCAGAGTAGCTCTTTCTATTCTCTCCAGAAACCTAAGAAGCCAAATGTTCTTGGCTTTCAATTGAGTCCTTTCTATCTCTAGGTACCATTCAATGGCCATCGTTTTTTCATCAGATACCTCTCATTGGACACCCTCTTGGTCTACTACTGTATCTTTGGTTTCCACCCTGAGGATTATCATTCATTTCTCAACTCTCTAGTCCCAACAGTCATTGTTACTTGAATAAATTACATAATCTTTTCCTGTGATCAAGTATGTCAGAATATCATGCTGTCCTTAAATGCTAAGACATCGAGGACAGCATCACTCGGGGGAAAGTGGGCTGTCCGTGGAGCCAGGCTCGCAGAGTTAATATGCCCTTAGCTGTGGGAGACTATAGACTCAAGTCCCCGTGCATTGGGCAAGCAAAGCTCTTGCTTCTGGAGTCTGGGACCTGAACTCTCCAAGCCTACAAGCTGTCATAGGCAGAAACAAGTCACTGAGCTGCCCACAGTAGGCTCTTTATGAATGAGACCTGGAGTAGAAGCTAGGTGACATGATACCTGTATTAGGGAAGAGACAAGTGGGGGCAGAATGTTATCTCGCCCAAGCACAGGGTGCAGGGAATATTCCTCCTAGGAATACAGAAATCCTTGAACTAAAAAGTGGATGCTAGTACATGCAAACAAGACCATTTAGGCAACTCAGATATAATGCCAGGAGGACAGCAAAGTCTGGGAAAGCTGAGGTTGGCACAAAAAACATTGGGAAGAGAGAAGGTTAGATCGGATTAGATTGCCTTCCACTCTTCTCTCCTTTTATTTGGGCTACATTTTCTTCATAATGTTTTCCTACCAATTCAACTTGCCAACCTACTCCGTCAGTCCCCCATTCCTTCTATTAATCTATTATCTTTTGATCCAGGTAAATGCGTTTATTATCTGGGTACCAGTCACAAATTCCATTCCAAGCCTTGCTCATATTATAACTCTGTATTCATGATACCCTATTCAGTTTAAACATATTTTTCTTCCTATTCCCTGTACTTTGGTTTATGTAGATACTTTTAATTATGAATGTTCTTTCCAAATGATTTTATTTATTCTTTTTGGTTGAGAATTATCAGTATTTCCTATACCTTATTTTTTCTCCCTGTCATCCCTATTGACTTTCACAGAAATAGGCTTTACATTTCCATCTGAGCCTTTTTTTATTCCTCTCTCAAGTGTCTCTGCTTTTAGTCCTCTAAATCAAGTTAATGAATCATCGGCTATCTCAGGTCCTCTGACACCTGATCCCTGAGTAGAAGCTCCGATGGGCTCAGCTGTCTGCAGCCGTGTTTCTTCTCACATCCTTCTTTGACCACCGCAGGGAAAAGTCTCAGAAACATGTGGCCTGTCTTGGAAACCCCCTGGTACTCAGAATTTCTTATGTGGAACTACATTTTACAGGAATAAAAATAATACAGCAAAACATCTAAAGCTCTGAAAACACATGCAGAGACCTCTAAAAATACAACAGTATAACTTTTAAAAATTGTGAATCACTACATTGTACACTCAGAACTTATATAATATTGTACACCCACTATACGTCAAAAAAAAAGTTAAAAAATTCCAGACATATTGTTGTTTGCGGCACAATTTATTATCTGGTCATAGTATTTGGGCACATTAATAGGTATTGATTTAACTCCATGGTAACCTCTCTTGAGACAAAGCAACCCAAAAAGAAAGCTTCAAAATGTGCAAAAGTAATAAATATCAAACTTTCTGATCTAAAATGTATAAATATAAAATGTCAGTCATTTCTGGAAACATCTTAAGAAAATCCAGCAACCACAGGTCCATGGGTAAGTGTCTGGCGTGGACGGTGCTAATCTTCGGAACATATCACCTCAGATCCAGTACGATTATTTTTATGTCTTTTACCAACACATGTTTGCATATCTAGGAAAGAAAAAATTGGCTTTACCTCATGATGTTTAACATGATTCTCTTTAGGGAGGGAGTATGAATTTCCTAATTTAAAATGTTTCTAATTTTAAAAATATTTCCACTCAGAACAAATACAATCATATGTATTCATTTTCAACAAGAAGAAGATGTTTACAAAAGGTGCAAGTAATTTTCATTTTAAATAAATTCTAAGTTCAAAATACTTTCTCTGACGTCACAGCCAGGGAACAGCCAAGCAAACAGAAAAGGACTCAAATAATGTTACTTTGGGGCTATACAAAGCCAATCAAAAAAATAGGATTACAGTTTTCACTGAACTGTTATGAAAAACTAATTTGGCCATATCAAGCAGAAATAATTCAGGACACATTTAATATCATTTTCTTTAATAATCGTTTGCTTGCTGGGACCCTGGAGAAAACTGTTAATTGTTTAAGTATCACACAGATATGTAAATGGAAAGGAAACTTTAGGTATAATCAACTGTTACAGAAATACTGTCATTCTTTTGTAAGTAAAATAGTAATGACAAGACATCAGAAGAAAATACAAAGATTGCTTAATTTTATGAGATAAGAAAATTCCAAAGTAAGCAATAAAGTGTTTTATCCTATATTATATTGCTACTATTTCTCTCCTTAAAAAAAAAAAAAAAAGAGGCTTATGTGTTTTATAGCTGGAAGTCTCTACCTCTTAATCTCCTTCACCTAGTTCACCTGCAAACCCCCTTCCCTCTGGCAACCACGCATTTGTTCTATTTATGACTCTGTTTTGATTTTAGATTCCACATATAAGTGAAATCATATGGTATTTGTCTTTCTCTGTCTGACTTATTTCACTTAACATAATACCCTCTAGATTCGTCCACATTGTTGCAAATGGCAAGATTTCTTTTTTTTTGCGGTACGTGGGCCTCTCACTGTTGTGGCCTCTTCCGTTGCGGAGCACAGGCTCCGGACGCGCAGGCTCAGCGGCCATGGCTCACGGGCCCAGCCGCTCCACAGCATGTGGGATCTTCCCAGACCGGGGCACGAACCCGTGTCCCCTGCATCGGCAGGTGGACTCTAACCACTGCGCCACCAGGGAAGCCCCAAGATTTCATTTTTTTTATGGTTAATAGTTCATTGTGTGTGTGTATGTATATATATATATATGACATATTTTTAAGCCACAGGGGTGTAATATATAGCATAAGGAATATGGTCAATAATATTTTAATACCTTAGCATGGGGACAGATGGTTATTAGACTTATGGTGATCATTTCATAAGGTATGAAAATGTCACTATATTGTATACCTGAAAGTAACATATTACATCAACTATATTTCAATAAAAAAAGAAAGGAGGGGGTGAAAAATAAACACTATGCAAAAAATAACCAGTGTTGTCTACTCACACTGAACAGCCTGGGGTCCTTGGTGTGTGGATGAAAGCCCTTCTTTTTACAAGCGGAAACCTCAAGCATGCCAGCATTGGTGAGCCTAAAGATTCCGGTGCTAAGTTTCAGAGTGAAAAAAAGGTACAAAAATTAAGGAATATTTGGGCTTTCCAGATGCTTTAATTTGAATGGCACAAGCATACATATTCTTCAAATGGAATGGAGAAAGAAACGACACACTAGAAATTTTACAGTGATTTTTTTAAACCAGTGTTGTGCTGACGGCCTAGAGGAAGACTGAAGAGACCAATGCTACTGCCAAGTGCCTGAACTGCTGTGTGAGACCTTGGGAGAAAAGCTGAGACCCCATAGGAGGAAATTACAGGTGATGGATATTTCTAATTTCTCTAATACACGCATATCTCATTTTATTGTACTTCACTTTATTGCACTTCGAAGATACTGCATTTTTACAAATTGAAGGTTTGTGGCAACTCTGCATTGAGCAAGTCTACTGGAGCCATTTTCCAGCATTTGCTCACTTCACATCTCTTTGTCACATTTTGGTAATTCTCACAATGTTTCAAACTTTTCCATTATTATATTTGTTATGGTAAAGTGTGATCAGTGATCTATGACTCGCTGAAGACTCAGATGATAATTCGCATTTCTGAGCAATAAAGTATTTTTAAATTAAGGTATGTACGTTGTTTTTTTAGACATAATGCTACCGCACACTTAATAGTCTGCAGTGTAAACATAACTTTTATATGCACTGGGGAACCAAAACATTCATGTGACTCACTTTATTGTGTCAGTTGCTTTATTGTGGTGATCTGGAACTGAACCTGCAATATTTCTGAGAAATAAATAGTATTTATAGCTTCAGTAAATATTTACTGAGTGCTGGCTGTGGTGCCAGGCACTATGCTAAGTCCTTTATGTAGACTATCATCTAGTTTCACCTTCACATCAATCTGTGATGGATAAGTATCAGGGATGAAGAGACTGAGGGTCACAGTGGTCAGGTATCAAACCGGGATCCCAGTATCAGTTTGTCTGATTCCTCTGCTCATAATCGTGCTATGATAGTCACTGTCCTCCACATTTAGGAAGGTTTTGGAGATAATTAAGCTAAGGCTGGGAATTTTCTTCTCTCTTTTTTTTTTTTTTTTTTGGCCGAACCATTCAGCATGTGGGATCTCAGTTCCCGGACCAGGGATGGAACCCGTGCCCCCTGCAGTGGAAGCGCAGAGTCCTAACCACTGGACCGCTAGGGAAGTCCCCAAGGCTGGAAATTTTCCCACAGCAGAAATCATACAATAGAACTAAGATCTCAGACGGCAAACTGGAATAACATCTGCTTTACCCACTTCAAGGTCATGTAAAGAAGGAAAACCAGTAATTCTACCACGGAAAGGACCTTAAAAAGCAAAAGATGGCAGACCTACAAGTTATGGAAGCCAGCAGGCACCAGTCTCTTTTTCCCAAGGGCATGGTTTGCCTACTTATCCAAGTGCTACCACCTGGTGTGTGGACACGCTTGAACGTAGCAGACCCAGACAAAGCCTTACTTGAACCCTCTCAATAGTCACACTTACTCTTTATGCTTCGGTGAACAGACGATGGCAATGGCCTCTGGCAACATGAGCTGATAAGAACAGTGAGTGTGGAGGTCAACACTGGATAAGAACGCAGTTTGGGTTGGATGTGTCTATAAAAAGAAAAGAGGACACCTTATTGGACAATCCTATTGGACAATCAATAGCTGAGTGCTGGCCAAAGTCAGAGCCCATGCCAAGAAAAAACTCTAGTTATTTGCTTTTTCTTTTTTACCATCATTAATCAAATGAGGATTCTGAAAATGTCTTGCTGACATAATCCTTCCCTTTATGCATCTATAGAATAACTACAACTTTGAGAAGAGGCTCTTGGGAGCGTTTATGTACTTTCTGCTTATTGGGATAACATAAAACTGAAAATTTGCCAAAGCCTTTACATAGATCTTCATTTAATCATCACAACTCATCTGGAAGATACTTAGTGTCTCAGTTTTACGTACAAGGATCCTGAGACTCCTTTAAGGAACTTGCTCACAAGGAGCACAACTGTGACTGGAAACCCAGAGACACTTATATACAACACCGTGGACATAAAAGGAAAAGTTTCGCTGAATATTCCACACTATGCTGGTATCCCTTCATGGATCCCCATTCCCTACAGATGAGGGAACAGAGCTCTCCGAGGTGTTGAAGATGTTTGGGACTCATCTCGCATGACCGGAGGGAAGGGGAGACTATAAATTAAAAGAGCTGTCTTCCAGGTTTGGGGCTACATACAGACCTGTGTTTAGGAGAGACAAACACATGCACCCACATGATTTGTAATTCACAGCAAACCCCAACCACCCTTGAAAAAGGGATGCAACCACTTAAATCATGTATCCAACATCCCTGTCATGCTGGGTCCTGGCTCCATCACTCCCTAGTTGTATGACACTGCAAAGATTCCATAACCTCCTCATGCCTTTTTCAGCAATTGTAAAATAAGGATAATAATCATTTTCTTCATGGGATTGTTATGAAACTTAAATGAGACAATCCATGTAAAATTCTTAAAACAGTGCTTAGCACAGAGATAGGAATCAAAATCATTAGCTTTTACGATTGCTGTTGTTATTGCTGTTTTTATTGTAATGTCATTTTTAAATTTAATTTTTATTTTATATCGAAATATAGTTGATTTACAATGTTGTGTTAGTTTCAGATGTACAACAAAGTGATTGGGTTATACATATACAGATATCCATTCTTTTTCAAATTCTTTTCCTATATAGGTCATTACAGAATATTGAGGAGAGTTCCCTGTGCTATACAGTAGGTCCTTGTTGATTATTTTATATATAGTAGTATGTATATGTTAATCCCAAACTCCAAGTTTATCCCTCTCCCCCTTTCCCCTTTGGTAACCATAAGTTTGTTTTCTATGTCTGTGGGTCTATTTCTATTTTGTATATAAGTTCATTTGTATCATTTTCTTTTAGATTCCATGTATGTGATATCATATGATATTTGTCTTTCTCTGTCTGGCTTACTTCACTTAGTATGATAATGTCTAGGTCCATCCATGTTGCTGTAAAAGGCATTATTTCATTCTTTTTCATGGCTGAGTAATATTCCATTGTATATATGAACCACATCTTCTTTATCTATTCCTCTGTCGATGGACATTTAGGTTGCTTCCATGTCCTGGCTATTGTAAATAGTGCTGCAATGAACATTGGGGTGCATGTATCTTTTTGAATTATGGTTTTCTCCATATATGCCCAGGAGAGGGACTGCTAGATCATATGGTAGTTCTATTTTTAGCTTTTTAAGGAGCCTCCATACTGTTCTCCATAGCAGTTGTACCAATTTACATTACCACCAATAGTGCAGGAGGGCTCCCTGTCTCCACACCCTCTCTAGCATTTACTGTTTGTAGACTTTCTGATGATGCCCGTTCTGACTGGTGTGAGGTGATACTGCATTGTAGTTTTGACTTGCATTTCTCTAATTTAGCGGTTAAACATCTTTTCATGTGCTTTTGGCCATCTGTATGTCTTCATTGGAGAAATGTCTATTTAGATCTTCTGCCCATTTTTTGATTAGGTTACTTGTTTTCTTGATATTGAGCTACATGAGCTGTTTGTATATTTTAGAGATTAATTCCTTGTCAGTTGCTTCATTTGCAAATATTTTCTCCCATTCTGTGGGTTGTCTTTCCTTTTGTTTATGGTTTCCTTTGTTGTGCAAAAGCTTTTAAGTTTAATTAGGTCCCATTTGTTTATTTTTTACTTATTTATTATCTTTTTTTTTTTCATTACTCTAAGTGGTGGATCGAAAAAGATCTTGCTGTAATTTATGTCAGAGAGGGTTCTGCCTATGTTTTCCTCTAAGAGTTTTATAGTATCCCATCTTACATTTAGGTCTTTAATCCATATTGAGTTTATTTTTGTGTATGGTGTTACAGAGTGTTCAAATTTCATTCTTCTACATGTAGCTATTTTACACTTTTGCCAGCACGTCTTATTGAAGAGACTGTCTAATGTTGTCATTATTAACTAGAGGGCATAGGCGCAGAGAAACCGCTTCATGCCTTTACACATAACTATGATCTGTTGAAGAAATGCAAGATTTCAAAACCTCTTTCTACTTTAATAAAATGAAGGTAAAATCCATTGATACCTATTTATAGAAAGATAATTGTCCGGCAGGAAAAAAATAACTATGGGTCTGCAAAGACCTAGATCAACTGAAGAACAGAAATTAACTTTTAAGGCCCAAATCTTTAGTGAGGGCATGAGTGGGAGGGTCTGACTGCCTGTTACCTGATTCAGTGAAAACCTCCTATTCATACATAGAACCTTCTATGCCTTGATGAAAAAGTAAGAAGTGTTCAAAGAAGCTCTAGTGCTATGGAGGCAGCAAGCAGATTGTCAAACAGACAAATCACTTTCCCTTCAGCTTATTTCCAGACTGAATGCACACTGTTAAGACATTCTGTTGTTTGTTTTTGTTTTGTGTCTTTGTGTTGCACCTTAAGATATTCTGAGTCCTTCATTTCTGCCAAGAGGAATCACTCCAGCTCCAATAAGGACAGCTCTCCCATGGGAGGATGGTGCTCCAATCCCATATGCCCCCACTCCATGGAGATAAAAATGATGATGATGATGGTAATGACAATGACGACAACATCAGCTGATGCCATTTATCACAACTGAATAACATGCCAGGCACTGAACTAATCGCTGTTCCATGAATTAATTTTACAAGATGAGATGAGTGCTGTTATTATCCCCATTTTGCCAGATGAGGAAACTGAGCTGAGCAGAAGAGTAAATAACATGCTTCAGGGCATAGGACTAGTTAAGCTCAGACGTCTAAATTGAAATCCAGATCCGTCTGATTCTGATTCAACCTTTCTTTCCTGTGACCAATTTATATCCAAAAAATGTGAGCTCTGGAATTTGTTGCTATCGTTATGCCAATAAAGACCATCACAAAAAGTCATTACAACCACTGAAGTTTAGAAATACAACATGTTACTGATTTCATTGAACCACAACAATCTGACATGGTAAAATTTAAAAAAAGCAAAGTCTTAGGATTCTAAAATTATGCTAAATTCATTATTTAAATGACTTCATTGTTGCATACATTATATGTACATGTCATAAGGGAAAATCTTTTGTTTCTGATCTGGGAAATGTTTTATGAGATAAACTAACACTGACTTTTCAACATAAGCGTAATTTAACTGTCATTCTTTCTCAGTTTATGTTACAATTGCTTTGCTACAATTTGTTTTCCTTTAAAATGCATTCTTGTTACAGAAAATTACATCAAACTAAATAATGCCTTTAAAATGACCCAATTTCTAAGCAAACGGTAAGGCCCATACCGGTAAGGAAAACAAACAGACATACAGAAAATTTTTGCAAAGTCTTCATTATAAATAATTTCTTGTATTTGAGAGGTGATTTATAGTTTTCAAAGGGCTTTCACATCTAGTATGTTGCTTATAGCTCATACAAATCGGTGAGGGAGAGAAGGCATTCATTAGCTCTACTGGATCAATGAGGGAACCTGGAAACAGGACGCTAGGAGTCCTGATCGACGGACTGTTACAGGCACACAGTAGTTTGCAGGTGGAGCTAGGACTAGCCTCCTCTGCCCTCCTGAATTACAAAACACCAAAAGCTTGGTGATGTGCGTGTGTGTGTGTGTGTGTGTGTGTGTGTGTGTTGAGGTGTGGGTGAGGATGTGTGTCCTGCCCCTCCTCAATACTTCTCTATAAAGCAAGTAAAATAAAAAATGCCTCCTTCTCACTCTTCAGAGGCCCTTGGAGGTCCCTAGGATGTGCCCTGGAAACCCTGACTAGCATCTCATGCCGTGAGATGACTTGTTCCTACCCCAGGCCCAGATGCGTGAGACTGAATGGAAAAATGTCCCCAGATAGATGAAACCATGGATAGGAAAAGTCCGATATCATCACCAAGTATCATCAGCTACAATATTCTGAGTTCCTAGAAAAAATGTGCCGAGAAATTCACTGACATTATCTCACTATCACATGAAGTCCATTATTATGGTCCCCATTTTATGGATGATAAAGCTGATGCTCAGATTGCTTAAATAACTTGCCAACATTCCTATAGTGAATTCTTAGCAGAGCTGATATTTAAACTCATGTCTTTTGATTTGTAAGCCCTTTCCTGCTCCTATGGTGGCCTGGTGGATGTTGGAACCCAATGTTTTTGGCCCTACTCCGTGGCTGTTTATACAGCGACGCATACATCCTTGGCCTGTAGGGGAGGTGAAGTGGAGGGTAAGGTCCCTATTTGATATGTACAAACACCTTTTTAAAAGAGACCTTTTCAGAAATTTTCTTAAAATAATTTACTTTAGACACACAGCCATGGGAAAGAGAATGTTAATAACTGTCTAATCATATTAGTTAAAAATCTGCCTAGGTCTCCATTAGACTACATAAAATCATCAAAACAAGTCTGATTTCCAAATGTTTATCTCTCTTTCAACTTGGGATGGTAGGAAAGAGCATACTATAGCCCTCTCCAAATCTGGATTTGACAGATGTAGACAAGGCCTAACGTTGAAGAAAATGCTTTAAAACGATGACATTTATTACACTTGAACATTTTTAAAATAAGAAACTATTTCTTAAGCTAAATTTCCTCCAGAAGGAGAACAGCCCGCCAAAAAAATAAATAAATAAACTGAAACCCAAAAGGTGAAACGTACATGGATCCATCCCAGAGTGAGGAGATTGTGTTGATCCTGAACACCGAATAATTCTTCTACATTCTCCACTTCGCAATAGTCTGGTCCCGCAGACTGTTTTGGCACGATTAAGTGGGTAATAGTAAATTCATTATGCGTCTGAAAAACAAATAGCAAAGAGAATAATAAGCATCTGACAGAAAAAAAAAAAAAAGCCTGAGTAGGAAGTATAATGTTTTAACAAGACTAGAAAGTGCCCACCACTTACATCATCATCCTCTCACCCCGACCCATCACAATTCAAAAACAAAGCCCCATACTTGAACACGGATCATCCGCCCCAAATTTGAGAGTCAGTTGTTTGGAGCCTGAAACCCATTTTCACAATATAACATGTATCATAAATAGGAATTAGCATCCTGGGCTGGTCCCTGGAAGTTTAGCTAGTAAATAATGGTGTGTTATATTACATCTGCAGTGGAAAAAATCAGAACAAAACAGTAGCAGGTTTATTTGGTGGGGAGATGCTAAGTAAATAATTTTGTGGTTTTATTGAAGGACATTTCTAAGGTTTGTGAAGGTTGACGGTCTTGTTTTTAGTTTATTGTTATTTAATTTCGCGTGAAGATTTACGACTTTCTTCTACTATGGGGGGAGGGGTTGGGGGTGGAATTCACCGGGATTTTCCATAATTAAGGTAATGTTTTGGATTGGCAATTAGATAAAGAGAAAGGAAAAACAAATTGTCCCTCTTAGGTAAAAGATAAGAGTTGAAAGGAAGAGGGCTGTAAAGTAGTGATAGGATCCTCAGAAAAAAGAAGTTTGTGTGCTGAGGAGCTGTCCATCCTTGCCCAGCGCCATCTTGTCTCTAGTCTTAAGGCACTTCTGTAAACTTGGCCCTATTCCTTTGGCCTTGATTACAACACTTCTCTCCATCCCAGCCCCTCCCTTCATGGCTAACTTTATGTATTCTAAACGTATGTAGTATAAACATCGGCTTTCGAGGAACCCCTTCTTGACCCTCCCAGGCAGGGTTTCCCAGTTACACCTTCCCATGATACCCTGCACTTCCACTGAGAGCACCCAGCTCCATTTATAATTAATCATCTCTCTGGTTCTTTATAAGCATCACACGGCAAAGACTGAGGCTGTTGTAGGTGACTGAATGCCTGTCTGATGAAGGAATGAATGAAGAATGAATCAATGAATGAGCGAATCAAACTAAGTACAAGATGTGGTGTTGGGGAAGAAGCATCCGTAGCATACTGCCCCCTGCAGGGCAAAGAAGGTGGCTGTGGGGAGGAGATGGCAGGTCACTCTCCTTTGCTTGTCTCCTGTGTTTCTTCTGCCCTGGGGGAAACGTGATGATGCAACACTGGAATATAGTAGGAGAATGTGTGTTGAATGAAACATCCTATTCAGTTAAATAACAGTTTCCAAGTAAATGTTTAGGGATGAAAATGTGTCTGGACTTAGAAACATAAACTGATACCCCACAGAGGGTACAAAGGCACTTCCAAAGAAACATTGTTCCTCTTTCTTGAAGTAGGAAATTAAATGTATCTTCTCTCTTTTATCTCCTTCTAGTTTGATATTGTCTTTCTTCACTTATTTCTGATAAAATCTTCCATACTTAAATATGACCTGTGCTATAAGATTGCAGTTTGTTGAAACTACTGCCTTAAAGAAAACAACAAAACCCTAGCTTTATTCTGCATGTATCTGAAAAAGGGTGGCGAGATTATACCTACCACAGACAAAAGCAGGTTGAGTTAATCACAGGAATATATGTGAAACTAACAATTGCAACGGAAATTTGATTCAGAAAACTAGATGGTTCTGGAAATCTGAAAGCCACCCTTTTTCTAAACAAAGATTTAACTTATGGTTTGATTAGTTAGTTCTTTACAATAAACTTTCATAGTATCTCTGAAATTTTACAATCCATTTTCTAGAATAATTCCATTAATAATGACAGTAGTTTTATGAAATTAATCTATATTAAGTTAATTTCATAATGTTTACGAAACTTAGGATGCTCTTGTTCCGCTCAGCTTATCACAAGAAAGCCAGCTCTGCTGAAAGTATCCCGTGCAGGGAAGATATGAAACAAAGACCATACCAGTTTCCCACAGAGTATTCCACAGGTTTCTATTCCTCTCACTGTATTAGATTCTGCCAGGAGCAGAAATCTGTGGCAAAGATCTCTTGATAAAACGACGTATCTCAGTCCTTCAACCACTAAATCTAAGAAACAGAAAAGGGAGAAAAGACAAAAAGAAGAAACCTTACATCCCATCCTTCAAAACTGTTTTTAGCAAGTGACTGCAGGTAAATATAAATTTCAAAAATGAAATAATCAGGTGGTCTACTTTCTGTATTTCATTTTAAAACTTGTAGAAGTGAACATTGACTAGAAGGAAGGTAAAATTACCCCTTGCATATAAATTATTTATATACAAGTGGGAAGGTGCAAGCACTTTTACATCTTTGTGACTTATATCAACTATTTACATGTATGTGCGTGTTTTCTTTTGGCACAAAGTGCACAGGCTGCATAGAATATATCTCATATTCTATAAGTGGTAGGATTAATCTTTTTTTGTGTTTGCCATGTGTTACTTATATCTTATGAAAGCTGGTGATCATTAGGTAAAAGCACCATGTTTTTTGAGATAATTGGCAGTAGAGTAATTTATAAAATGGTTGCTTATCATAACTCTTTCAAAATAAATGGAAATATAAATTCCACTTAACAGTGTCTGCTGGGAAATTTTCCTGTTTGGTTTTGGAAAGCTGCCAGCACTGATGTAGCAGTCCAGGCAACACTAACTTTTGGCAGAAACACATAACCCCTTTGGAGGTTAACACCCATGTGTACAGATCCTCCTGGGCCAGGGAAATGCTAAATATTTAAATTTAATGACTGAAGAAGGTTCTGAACAAACAAGTTTTCCAGCATCTTCTTTCCTCTCCGGTGTGTTTACCTTTAGGATTCAGTGCTTCTTGGTCAAAATACGTGAAAGGAAAAAAAAATGCTCGGAATTTTTCTCTCTTAAGATCTCTGTACCACGATCAAATACAGTGCTGTTTATCATGGAGCCTCTGTTCTACCAGGGGGTAAATCACGTTTCCGGAATTCTGAGGTTACATATAGCAAAAGTCAGGTGATATTGTCATTCACACCACATCATGTAGGGGAACTACCACAACTAACAATAAAATGAGGGGACCCCTCCCAGATGTCACAGAAATATGGTTCCATTAGAGGAGATTCCATGTCTTGTGGGGTGCATTTCCTCACTTACTCTGAACAGCACTTAGAGTTGCAGCTGGCTTTAAGGCCCTGTTTACGGGAGGCGAGTGGCCAGCGTAATTGGTTGCATCACTTTTATTAGGCTGATCTGCAAATACATTCAGCAAGGAATTGTTCTGGTGTGTGGAAAAGCAGGACAAAGCACTCCCATCAATCTGCTCTGACTGCGCTGGAGTTTCCTGGCTTCGCATCTGACTCCGGGCTAATTCTTGCTTCTTGAGCTGATCTTCGAAAAACAAGAACTGCTCCGATTCTAGCTGCTGCTGGCGCATCTGAGCGATCCGCTTCCTTTCTGCCTCTATCAATCTCTGATGCTCCAGTTTTTTGAGAATTTCAGCTTTATATTTGTTCTAAAAAAATGTGGTTGCCAGAAGAAAAGGTTAGTTTCCAAGGCAAAAGCATCAAACTGGGATTAGACAGTTTCAATCTTCTAGCAGACGGAGAGACACAGCTAGATACTGCGATATGCCCACAGGGACACTCCTGAGACTGCCAGGAAAATATGTAACATCGTGGCAAAAGCCCCTTAATCTGATTACGGGAGCAGTTCTAAATCCACTCATATTTTACCAGAGACAGGCCAGGACAGTCAAGTTCCCTCCACCCTCCTGTGCTTTTAAATATTAGTAATCAAAGTCAGGATTGTCTGCACAGCCTGACTGATCAGACCATACCTCAGAAATAGTTATATCACCCTGGACTGCACTGTCCAATATAGTAGCCACTAGCTACATGTGACTACCTAAGTTTAATTCAAATGAAATGAAATTAGAAATTCAACTCCTCAGTTCTCACTAGCCACACGTAACGTACCACGGGCTAGTGCCTCCCATATCAGAGAGTGCCAAATAGAGCATTTCCATCATCATACAAAGTTCTATGGGACAGTGCCACCCTAGAATCTTTTGCATTTGACTCTATAACTCATACTGCTGGAACTTTACGGAGAAGGGGGAGTCACTAACAAATGGTTCTCAGAATGTGGTCCAATCAACTCTATCAAAACAAACTACTAGGAGTTTTGTTAAAAATGAAGATTCCCAAGCTCCCCAGTCTTAACAAAAATATCCAGGCATTATTAGGTCAAAGAATACATCTTTAACAAGCTTCCCAAATAATTCTGATGAAAACTAGACTTTGGGAGCTACTATAAGGCAGGGGTGAGGTGGGGGACAGAGCTTACAGCAGTGTAAGCTGACATCATGTCAGCTTACACTTTGATATGCACTCTGGGTCTTGTTATAGAGCAGACTGGCCTTCAGCGGGTCTGGGGTGGGGCCTGAGAATCTGCATTCCAACAGGCTCCCCAGTGATGTGAGTGTTGCCTGTAGCAAAGGCTTATCAGTGTGTCTGTTCATCTGTCCAAGGCATAAAGCCTGCCATTCTATCCCCCAAAGATTTCTACATGTCATATACTTGGAATCCTACTGTGGACTAGGAAGTAACTGGTGTCACCAAAGGCAGACCAGGTGACAACTGCTGAGGCCGCTCCTCCCAGAGCGCTCCTGAGAGGACCAGCATGCACATTGCTGAGCAGGGAAGGGAGATTAACTGGGCTGTTAAATTAAATCCCTTCCTGCTGTTCTGTCCAAGCCGCCAAAATCACTTTTAGCTTTTATAGTTCAAATCAAATCATCAGTAACCACACTGGAGGAAATCTTCTCATCTCAACATTCCTTCTGTCACTCAGCGCAAACAGCTCACTCAAACCTGCCTTCTAGCTATACCAAAGGAAGCAGAGAAGGCCTGTGACCACACTCCGAGGTAACAAGATTGGACTGAACTGAGAGTCAGTAAAAGTGACAACTTCCAAAGCACATAAACACATAGCCAAACAAAAAAGCAAAACAACCTTTATCATTATGCTGTAAACATTAAGAGTTCAAGTGTTGAACTGGAATATCTTATAGACTGACTGGTCAGCTTCTTCTTTCAATGCCCTTCAGTCTCAGACATCATTTTCATTTTCACTCTCTATTTAATAAGAATCCAGGAGCCACCACCCCTTGGTGATATGATTACATTTCACTCATATAGCCATTATTCCATCTGGATGTTATACTGATTACAATATTTAAGAATCAAATTCACATTTCCAAGGCATACGTAATTAGGCACATCAGAAACTATATACTGTTCTCCCTACCGCTCTTACTGTCTCCTTTCATTGCTAAAACGCAGCCATCTGGCTCAAGATTACATTGGCAAGAGTTGGTCTAAAAGCTCCGCTTAAATCACTGTAAGAAGTCTATTTTCTAATGCTTCACTTTATTAGATGTTGACAGGAAATAAAAATACCACATCCTTGGTGCAAGTGCTTAACCAGGATATCAACATGAATTTTTTATGGGTTTTACGTCACTGTATTTTTAATTTTTAATTTGAATGCATACGACATTTGAAAAACTCATTAAAATGAAATTCAAAAAATATCTGCACAGAAAACAGTCATGCAATAAATGTACCAATTGAACTTACTTCACTTTGCAAATATTCTTGGTATTCTACGTTATATTTCTTTAAAAGGTCCTTTTTCAATTCATCTGTCCTTGGGAATGCAATCTCCTTCAGTTTCTTTTAAAAAATATATATATACATATTGATTAGTGGGATTTTCAGTATAGTCAGCTTTCAGATCATCAGCTGAGAAAGAAAAACAGCTGGTATGTGCATTAGAAATCAAGACACAAGTAACCAAAGATGATCGTGGAAAAATCAATCTTTTCTAGGGCTCCAAAATATAACTTTTCAGTAGAGAAGAGAAAAAATTATCCCCTTTGTAAGACCTTTATCGACTTCACTGGTTAGATAAGCATCTTGTTCAGTAGGTACCTCATTTTTAGGTAGTGGGTTTGTAACTGCACATTCCATGGTAGGTAAATTTTATGGCATCATAGTTAGAAGGGACCTCAGAGAACACCGTAAGTAGGGATCCCTAGGCTTAACAGACTGTAAAAAAGGAACTCAGGCATTTTTTATAAAAATATAGTTTCCCAGGCCTAACCCAAGACCTACTGAGACAACATGTTTAGAGAAGGGATTGGGATCTGGATCTCAAACAATTTCCCAGTGATCATAATGCAGGAAAATCTGATACAGTCCAAGCACCCACCAGCCCCGCCTCTGTAGAGATGAGGAAACAAAGGCCTAGAGGGATTGAAAGGCTTGTCCAATGTCATTCAACTAGCTAATGGCCTCATTAGGACTAAAACTCCTAACTCTAGCCAATCTTTTGTCATCCATCCATCCATCCATTTATTCAAGCACAAACAGAAAATGTATATGCTTTTGGAGAATACTTTCCCTACAAGTAAAAATAAGAATAACCCTAAATTAGAGTAAAGGAGTCACCTTGGCAGCCTAAGACCTTGGTTTCCATACAGAATTTTCTGAGTTTACGTGAACAAGAGAATTGAGGGGAAATGCTACTCAAAGGCCTGATAATGAATGATCCTTCAGATAGTGTACAGAAATTTTAAAATGTAGATGACCATTTGACAAAAATTTGTGTTCTGCTTACAGGCACCCCCAGGCCTGACATAGCTGGTAAGAAAGCTTTTATTCTGTTATGTGGTAAAATATTTTTTGAGAGTAATTAAAAATTACATACTGTGATTGACTTTGTATACATTGTTTTACCTTCCATCATATAAAATCAATCCATACTACTTAAGACAAATGGAAAGCATTTAAAAATGTTATCTAAAAGGATATATTCTTAGCCAAAGATATTTGGAACTATATATGCAGCAAATGTTGATGGTAAATAAATACATTTCAACAACCTTCTTTTTCCTTTGGAATATTTCAGGCCACTCACTAAACACTTTGTTGTCTCATAGGCTAGTACTATAAGAAGAAAATGACTAGAACTTTGTGGCTGCCTTAATAATCAACACTGATATTCAAATAGGTTTTGGGTTCAGAATTGTATGGAATAATCAAAACCAGCCAAAATGACTGTCTCAAATAAGTATGGGGAAATAGACAACCATTCTCTCAATCTCCGGGAGGAATCATAAAATAATTCCTTCTTCACGTCTTAACATGATTAAGTATATTCTTGATCTTTTTCTTTTTTTTTTTTTTTTTTCTCGTTTCAAGTAGACATCCCGCAGTAACGATGATTAAAGGTCTAGGAAGAGATCGAAACATCATAGCTAATGGAATGAATCTTTTGCGCTTAAACTCTTGAGAGGATGAGACAGAGGAGGAGAGGAAGGGGATGAATCAATAATGGATACTTGTGGAACATTTGAACCCCCGGGGGAGAGTCTATCCCACAATACCTTCATAATATCCTGCTTTTCGGGTACTGCACATTGCTGGTAATCTCGATGGTTAGGAAGCTTTTCTACAAACAAACTGCAGAAAAAGAAAACACGTCCTTAGCATTAAATGACAGAAAAAGCTCAATGATGGCTTCTAATTTGAGAATGAGCCTCCTTTTCAAAAAGGACATGGTTAATAACATTATTTAACCTATATTCTTTCCATTTGCCTTTCCATCAAAGGTTGGCCCAAGTATGATTTTGGCATTACAGGGTAGTTAACTGTAAGCACTGAGGTTAAGAGAGTTAAAGTTGGGATGCTCCCTGAAGAGACCACATCACTTTGGTTTTTCTCGGGTCTTCGGCACTGTTTCCCACTTGAGCATCATTTTACTTATGTGTAGGGCTGGCAACACTGAGGATCACGTGAAAATGTAAGAGTCTGGAAAGATGGATGTAACCCCTTCTCACCATTGAAAGACTCAAAGGGCCACTGATGAATCAGTAGTGCCATGGTGTCTATATTAAAAACTCTTAAATGAAAATTCATAAATGAGAGAAATGTCAGCCGGAATCCTTAATGGATTACGAGGTGCTAATTAAGAGTTAATTATTTTTCATCACCTTTTGAGGAACAAGGGACAATAAAAATGAAGGGAAATTAGTACAGCAAACCAGATACATTGCTTCCAGGTAAAGTGAAGGTATTGCTTCCACAAGGGCAGGAAATTCTGTTTTTGTTTTTTCCTTATTGATGTATTCTTAGCCTGTAGAATGGTGTCCCTCTCATAATGAATGTTCAATAAATATTTGTTAAATGAATGAAAAGCTCTTAGAGCAAATACTATTTTTGATCAACTAGTATGCTATAACTACTGATGTTCTGTTGTTTACAAATCACACATACACTCATCATCTCATCTATAGAATACAGAGGAAAGGTATTATAACTCTTATCTCTCAAATAAGAAAATTAAAGCCTAAAGAAATTACATAAGGTGTGTCAGTTGCCTAAGGCTTTTGTAAGTAGCGTAAAGTCATAGACATTTAGAGTTGAAGAGACCTCAGAGATTTTCACCCATAAGTCTTTCATTTATGTAGATGAGGAACTGAACTCACAGAGGATAACTGAATTACCTATGGTCATATCGTTAATGACAGGAGAGAATTCAAATATTCTGATTACTCAGTAACTCAGAGAGTGTAGTGGCCCTTTACCACACTTACGTGTGTGTGTGCAAAACCCAGAAGAAGGTGAAAAAAATATTATCATTTAGTAACTTATAGTTCAGAAACTAAAATGGAAAATGTGTGCTATCAATGACAGTTTATAACGTCCAATTTCATGTTTATTGCTTAACTTTATAGAAACTTGATTTTTCCCAGGTAGGATGAATGTTGCCAACCATTCTCTAAATTTCCAAGAAGTTAATTAACTTGAATAAAGTGCAGAGCCCACTTTGCACACCATATTAACTGCCTTTAATTTCGCCCATGGTAGAATCATGGATGCAGTATTTAAAACAGTTGATCTTTTCAGCTTCTCGAATGTTCTCAGGTTAAGTCCCCAACTAAACTAATACAATTAATCAATGTGTGATTTCCAGTTAAAACAAAAATAAGGGGTTCAGCTCAGATGAAATAATTTTTGGTAACAGGAGATCCTCCCAATCAGTAAGCTGGCAAATTGGTATAGAAAACCCAAATCCCATTTCTTTTAGTTCAAACTAGGATATCTTACTAACAAATATCTAATGTGAAGTGTGATTTTTTTTTTTTGCGGTACGCGGGCCTCTCACTGTTGCGGCCTCTCCCGTTGCGGAGCACAGACTCCGGACGCGCAGGCTCAGCGGCCATGGCTCAGGGGCCCAGCCGCTCCGCGGCATGTGGGATCTTCCCGGACCGGGGCACGAACCCACGTCCCCTGCATCGGCAGGCGGACTCTCAACCACTGCGCCACCAGGGAAGCCCAGTGATGTGTGATATTTTTACATGGCTGTTTTGATGGAGCCACTTTCACTCAATATTTTGGAAGCTCTTTTATACATACAATTCTTACACAGCTAAATAATTGCCTAAAAAAAATACTAACTACAATGTGAAACCAACTACTACACTCTGTCCCAGAATCAGTTCCTTCCTAGGATCGTCAACTTATCCCCTAGTCGCAACCCATCAAATTAAATATTTAAAATGTTAATGGCACATTCCAGGTATTGTAGATGGAGCTACAATATGATGTCTGCTTTCATAAAGCTTGCATTCCTGTGAAGGAAGAATGACACAAAACAAGAAATTTTATTTGTGAAGAGAGGGAGGGGGCATGCTGGTTACTGCGCTGGCCTGTTGAAAGGTGTCTGACATCCCTGAGCTTCGCGCCATCCCTGATCATTCATCCCTAAGCCTCAGAGATGGTGTAAGGCCGCCTCTGAGTACATTACTTGGTAACTTAAAAACCTGGACATCTCATGCTTTGGGAGATTGTAAATTCAGTCTGAATATGAAAACATGCCGGCATCTAAGCTGTCTCACCAAAATACCATGTAAATATTTTCCCAATTTTCTCATTTTGAAGACCTCCAAAATAAAACACTTACGTTATAAATTTATTATAAAGAACAAAGGCATTTTCCAAGTTTCCTTCTTCCAAATACACGGACGCCATTCTCTCCATTTCTACTCCGGATCTAAAGTAGCGGCGCGGAGTGATATCTTCATTGATGGTGATATTACAACCCAGCTTGCTTAGGGCGCGGACTCGCTCTTCCGGGCTGAGGGAAACATCCCTGTGGTCCGGCATGGCAGCTAACTTTTTCTGCAAAGTCGAATTTGAATCTCTGGTTATAAGAAGAAATGAACATGACTGAAATTATACATGTATTTTCTGTACTAAATACCTGACATCAATACCTAAGGAAAGTTTTTCATAAAAGTTAATGATACGATAAAAATAATTCTTTTTGCTTAAACGTGTGGTCTACACACCAAAAAGATACACGTCTCCAGGGTAAACATACACTCTTTTAGACTAAGACCTCTTATAGGTTTCAGCTACAATTATGTGGCACTTCCTGGGTATGCAAATGTTTTAGGTCATTTTAGGTAAAATATCATTGACCCTTATATCCTCACAGAAGCAAACCAAGAGATGGATTCCTACCAGGGTAGGGATCATGTCATTATACTTGAAGGGCCTCCAAGAGATGGCTTGGATTCGAAGTTACTATCAGGATTCAATTCTATTCCAGAACACATCTGGTTTTATAAGTAGCTTTCAGGGCCTCCCTGTATCTTTACCAAGTGAATAAAACCCCACCAATAATTCCAGGAAAAACCTTTTCAAGCATATGGCCATTCCCCCCACCCCTTTTTTAACATAAAGACACTCTCAGAGCTTGACATAATAGTAACTACACCATTAATTATTCCCTGACTGAGAAAGTAATAATGATTACTAAAAAAAAAGTCTGTGATATTAATATATTTGTATTTTATTAATAAAAACAACATCTATACACATCTGAAAAAACATGGAACATATACATTCAGGATAATTATTCAATTCTTCAATAAAAAGTCAGTGTTTCTGAAAGGTGAAAAAGCCAAATGTTTTCTGTTAAAGGCCATATAGCAAGTTTCTTAGCCTCAGTGGGACATATAGTCTCCATGGCAGCTACTCAGCTCCGCTGGTGTGAAATCAGCCATAACCCCACGTAAACAAATAATCCTGACTGTGTTCCAAAAATATTGTTATTTGACCAAAGGTAAATGTTTCAATGACATCATAAAGTTACTGGGAAAAAAAATCTATGGAAATTAGGACATTTTCTAAAGCAGACTTCTAGCCTCCTGTGTGCACAAAAGTAACTCGCCCGTTTTTTATTACTATACAGTCTACCCTGAATTATAATTATTTGTATACAAGTTTTTTTTGTTTGTTTGTTTGTTTTTTTCGGTACGCAGGCCTCTCACTGTTGTGGCCTCTCCCGTTGCGGAGCACAGGCTCCGGACACACAGGCTCAGCGGCCATGGCTCACGGGCCCAGCCGCTCCACAGCATGTGGGAGCTTCCCGGACCAGGGCACGAACCTGTGTCCCCTGCATCAGCAGGCGGACTCTCAACCACTGCGCCACCAGGGAAGCCCTGTATACAGGTATTTTTGACTCCTTATGAACTCCATGAGGGAAAGGAATCATTTTACACTCATCTCTGTCCTCTGGAATGTAGTATATTCCCTGCAACACAGATGATAACCAATAAATGTATCAAATAAAGGAGGAAGAGAGACAGGGAGCAACATGACTATAATTAGATAATCTTTTTATCTGAAGGAAAAAAAATAAGATTTATTTTCCCTTTACGGGAATGGTGCTGCCCTTCCTAAGTTTAAAATTGATTTCAGAGATAAACTGGGAAATAGCCTAAACTCTTCATCAATCTGTAGTGTTTCATTTGCATATGAACTTCTTAGATGTAAATAAATTTTCCAGAGGAAGAAGCCTTTGTGTTCATTTTTACACTGACATGTCCACTAAAATTTTAGTTATTCCTACATAATGTTCTAGAAACACACAGGCACTCCATAAGGATGACTCCTTCCTCTGCAGAGGTGGAAATGGGTCAGCCTTTATTATCCCACAGTGCCTTGACAATATGGGGTCAGAAAGTGAAAAGTTCCTACAATTTTCTGCTCCTCAAACATACTCTCAAAAGCAACTGAGCATCTGTGAAGGACTTTTTCCTCAAAGAGAGAAAACTAACCTATTTCAGAGCAAGAGCCAGGCTCTATTTCTTTATGTTCTGGTGCTAAGCTTTGTGTGTGTAGGGTATTCAGTATACCGCTGCTCCCAGGGCTACAGGGGTAGTGAGTGGGTTTGGGAGGGTCATCAGGAGGAAGGGGAGGGTAATGACAGCTTTCCTTTAGCAAGTCCCAAGGACAAGCTGGCAACATTAAAACTACGTTTCCAAAAGTTGTAAGGCACAAAGTACAAAAACAGGGCCATGGAGATTATACAACGTTCCTATATTCACATTCAGAGACTGATCTGGTACACACAATAAGCTCATGGGATCCCAAGGCCCCTGTTATTTCCTCTCCAGCACGTTATTTCTTCTAAGATGTAGCTCAAGGAGGTGTGTACTATGTTGGCTGTAAGGGCAAAAGATGAAAAGGATGAGAGTTTCAAGTATTCACACATTTACCCAAAGATCCCAAAGCAGCATCTAGGTGTTAAATAGAAAATTATTTCCTTGGTCATTGCCACACAAGGTAAGCCTCTAATTTTTATCTGGGAAGAAGCTGAGGCACAAAGAAGTTGAAGTACCTGCTACAATGTCATCTGTGAAATTCTTCTCCCCGGTGTTGTGCTAAAGGACTACACTCCTGGAATCGAACCAGATAAATTAACATTTCACACTTTAATGGAAAAAAAAGCATTATTTTTAATTCTAGCAAAGATGGGTTTATTAATCACTTCCTCAAAGGAGAGGACCACGCAGATGGATGAAAACGGCAAATGCTCAACTTCTTGAATTGTGACTCATTTCACATTCAGTGTGTTTCTGTTCTTCTTTTTGGGTTTTCGGACCACATGTAAAATATTGGTTGGTGCCACCTACCAGGGAATTCACCGTTAACGGCTGATCCATGTTGTCCTGTCTACAAAATGATGGTGTTTATTGTTTCTTCTCAATCACTTCATCTGTTTCAAAGACAAAAAGCAGAGCTAAGGTTATTTCTTGAGAACTCAAGTCTCAAATCCCAAATGCCAGGCTTATTTCTGCCTCAGAAAAAATATGAACAAATTGAAATAACTTATATTATCTGAGACTACTGGAAATCTCTTCCTGAAAATACAAAACTGCAGGTGGTTATAAGGTTTCTTGAAGCAGACTTTTAAAACAGGAAGTGTGAAGAGAATTAGTTATTGCCTAGTACCCAGTATAAATCTGCTGGGTGTTATCTTACTTAGAATACTATGCAAGGTTATAAAGTGGATTTACTTGCTTCGAAAGGAGAAAGAAGGTCACTGTGATTGAGAGCATGGACTCAGACCTGGAGCCCATCTGAGCTTAAACTAAGTCTTACTGGCTGTGGTAGGTAGAATTCTAAGAGAGTGCTGTGATTCCCACCCCTTGGGATCCACAGGTTTATGTAATCCCCTTCCCTTGAGTGTGGCCAAGACCTATAACTGGCTTCTCATCTCAGCAGAACATAGCAAAGGTGATGGGAGATTACTCCCATGTTTATTATATTCTGTCATATGGCAAAGACGAAGAGATTCTGCAGATATATTAAGGCCCCTAATCATTTGAGGTTCAATTAATCAGAAGGGAGATTATCCTGAGTGGGAGACCTCTCCTGCTGACCTGGAAGACTCAGCCATCCTGAGTTCCACAGCAGTAGGGAGATGAATTCTGCCAAGAATGACGTGCTCTTGGAAGAGGACTCCAAGCCTCAGATCAGATCCTTACCCTGGTCGACGCCTCCATTGCTGCCTTGTGAGACCCTGAGCAGCGGACCTAGTTGTGCTATGCCTAGACTCCTGACCCACAAAACTGTGAGATAACAAATGTATGTTGTCTTAACACATGAAGCTTGGGGTGATTTGCAGTGCAGCAATAGAAAATGAATACTCTAGCTGGGTGACTGCAGGTAAATATCTAGCCTTTCTGTGCACCTGAATAAAGGGGGAAAATAAGAGTACCTATGTCATGTCGTTGTGGTAAGGATTAAATGACTTAGCATATAAAGCGCTTAGAACAGTTCCCAGCACATAGTCAATATCATATCAATGTCCGCTATTACTAGAATCTTGATTTTGCAGTTGAGGAAACTGAGGCTCAGGGATGTTAAGTGAATGTACCCAAGTTCAAATAATCACTCGATAAATGTTAGTCTCCTTCCTTTGTATGCTAGTTTAAGGTCGAGCTCTGCATGATCACTTCCCACTTCTAAATTTATGTCGGCTTTTATATTCCACTAATCACTTATGCGACGCTGAACACATATTTTCTCCTCAGTTCTCATTCATGAAATGAGGGGGTTAAGCTACACTCTTTCAAGTTACAACATTCTGTGATTCTCGAAAACTCCAGAAGTAGATTATTCAATCCTTCCGTGCTATTTTCTGACCTGAATCCATGGCTGGAAAATCCTTCCAAGGAAAGTCACTTAGTGTGTTCTGATCTTTCCCCTTCATCCTCTCCAGTGATCCCTGGAGTACACATCAAGCTGTCGGCCTGCAGGTTGCAGAAATGCACAAGAAAGAAGGACCTACAGAGAGCCCTAGTCACAGTGTACTTTTAAAATCCAAATTAATCCTGGGACCACTGAATGTAGGCAATCCCTTTGGGGGAATTACCACTTCTTTGGTGAGAATAAAACGGAAAAAAAAAAGACGTTAAAAGAGTTAAGGAGACAGAACAAAGAGGCTTATGGAGAATTTGAGGCTGGGTGGGGAGAGAATAGGACAAGGAAATACTAGTTACTCATTGATTAGGGTCTCCTAAAAGCCAAGAATGAATTCTTTTAGGGGTTACTCAGATCCTTAAACAGAGCACAAATAATTTAAAAAGTTGGAAACATTAGCACAGCACTTCTAAAATCATATAACCCGGAGACTTGTTTAAAATGCAGATTCCTGGAACTCAAAAGGATTCTGGATCCCCTAGTTTTAAGCCCACCAATAGCATTGTTAGGATGTGGTGCAGGTGATTTTGATACATGAGACTTCCAAACAACACTTTGAAAGACACTGCATCTGAGAATGTATCAAGCAGGATTCTTAGTTGCAAGCAAAGGCACCGACTCTTGAATCCACAGAATGATAATGGAAAGGTCACAAATTACCAAGAAGGCCAGAGAAATTGGGCCTGGAGGCTACATACCCAGCAACCTGACCCCAAATCACACAGCAGCACTGGTCTGCTGCCTGTCACTGATGGGCGGGGCAGCCAGCGGCTTCCATCACCGACACCAGATGCTGTCTGGGAAACCACCTGTGAAGGTGCCACATATTTTTTCATGTCACTAGTTTCTATTTCAAAATATGAGATGGAGGTGCCTGACTGGCAGAACCTAGGTCACACGCCTGCAGCCAGGCTGCAAAGGTGGTTAAAAACGCAAATATCTAGCACTTCACACTTCCTTAGGAGGCAAAGTGGGATGTGCCAGGTGAGAAAAGGTAGATTCAGGGCTGGGCGGCCAAAAACAATGGTAAGTATACAGAAAAATCAAACTTTTCCACAATGAGCTTCTAGACGTATAAAATGCTTAATTCAATATATCTTGAACACCAGAATTTATTAAATTCCTATAGATGAAAACCAATAGTTAAATCTCTCTTTAACTCTATTAACTCCCACACACAAATTTATCTATAATTCAGAAACAGAAACCAACTCCCCTCAAATCTAATAAGAAAGAAGTTTATACATTGGTCAGTCAACTGCTTCTTTTTGGACCATTAACTACTCAGTGGCAGTGGTCCTGCCTTAATTCCTTTATTTTTCAATCTGCAGTCCTAGCACTTATCCCCTGCAATATAAACAATTACCAATGTCAGCATAAACAGGTTATGTTCTCAAGACCAGTAGATGTCAAAGTGTGATACAGCGTCCCCAAGGGGTCTGCAAGGTCAATATTATTTTCGTAATATCACTAAAACATTATTTGCTTTTTTTACCATCCATCTGTATAGTGGAGAGTTCCGTAGGGTACAAGTTAATGGCTATGCTCACTTGTATCTTCTTGTAAATGTCTGCTACAATTTTTAATATGGTAAATATAAATAGATATAACCCACAGAAACAAAGCTTTTTAGTGCCCTTAGTAATTTTTAAGAGTGTAAAGTGGTCTCATGACCAAAAAATTTGGAAACCTGCTGCTCTAGATCAACTACGCAAACAAACAAAACAAAACCTCGCCATGCTACTTCAATCTAACCAGAAATATAGTGGGCCATGAGAATCTAAAAGACGAAAAAATAATGGTCAAGTATCACCTTCCATTTGTACTACTAAAGTCTCACTAAAATAATTAGAAAACTGAGGGCACAATAAGAGATACCTTACCTCACAGAACCCAAGACCCACGAGAGCAAATGTGGCAGACTGCTATATAATCTGCAATACCCATTCTCTTTTTCTAATATAAAAATATAAATTTTTAGTTGATACATAGCCTGGATGTCTCTATGTCTCAACTGCCCCCAAGGAAATGTGGAAGCAGCTGTATGATTCTGCCCTTTAAAACCAGCAGCAAGTAATGCCAAGAACAATATCTAATCTGTTAACACAGTGTTTCTTTTGTGACCTTTTTAGCCTAAATTATTAATTCCCTTAATTTTCCTTCTCTTTCTTTTTTTTTCTTAAATACTTTTTTTTGGGGGGGCGGGGGTGCTAAGCTCAGAATCCTGACTTACTTGCATACACAGAGGCAGATTTTCCAGAATACAAAAGACTAACCAGGCAGGAAAGAGTCTCCTGAGAGACCGGGCACACAGGACAGCCAGTGAGACCATCGCCCAGACGTGTCGTTTTCTCACTGGTACTCCTTTCAGGCTGAGTGCTGTAGGGAACTGGATAAGCAGGGGCGGCAGATGAGAGAGGCCAGAACACCTCATGCCACACGCTGTGGTCTCATTTCTAATGGGCCAAAAGCAGCCTTTCTTCTCCCCACTGGGTTAGAGTTCAGGTTTTCCTGGAAGAACATGGTGCAATTTACTTAGTTGGAGATAAAGCAAATGATCATAACCTAGACTGTGGGCTGCAGTGACCTAATCTGATTTAGATAAAAGGAGGTTAAAGGGTCACTCCCACGCTTTAAATGACAGAGGCAGAAAGGAGTATCTCCTGAGTCACAGGAGGCTTACAGACTGGGACCTGCTTCCGGGAAAAAAAAAATGACCTAAGCCCATCCTTGCTTTTCATTTGGAAGGATTCAGATGTTAAAACCAAAGGCTATTTTTTTATACTCAAGAGATTATTTTTATACAATATTTGTAAATCAGAAATTATCATCTGCTGTGACCCAGGTGATAACATTATTTGTACTAAAATATTGATAAATACGAAACTTGATCCGAATATTAGAAATAGCCTTTATTGTCCTTTTTATACACTTGTAAGTACTACATGTGAGTACCTGCTAGGTATCAGGCATTTGTCTCTTATTCCTAGAAGGATATCCCAAGTTAAACATACCTCAGCAGTGTGGTTAAGATTAGATCAATCAGCAAGAATGCAGTTGCTACAGGAAAGATTATTAAATAAAACACCATGCCCAATATAGGTTTTGTGTTTGTTGTTTTTTTTTTTTTTGCGATACGTGGGCCTCTCACTGTTGTGGCCTCTCCCGTTGTGGAGCACAGGCTCTGGACGCGCAGGCTTAGCGGCCATGGCTCATGGACCCAGCCACTCTGCGGCATGTGGGATCTTCCCGGACCGGGGCACGAACCCGCGTCCCCTGCATCGGCAGGCGGACTCTCAACCACTGTGCCACCAGGGAAGCCCCCAATATATGTTTTAAATTACTTTGAGGTAAGTCTAGGCTACCCTGAGGGCAATCAAGTTGCACTTTGGGCCAGAAAAGAATTATTTCTCATAGTGCAGTACAATTTTTATTCTGACACCAGGATGAGATGGTTGGGCACCCTTAACCCAGCAGCTCAGGGTTTGGGGCTGTATATGTGTAGGAGAAACCAGCTTCTACCACTTGTGAGGTGGGAGTGCTATGGTGTCTTATTTAACCCTTTTGTGTACTTTATCTTCATCTATTAAATGGGGGGAAATAACACCCTTCCAGAAGAACTCAGTGGAAGCTTACATGAAGTTAAAAAAAAAAAAAACACACAAAAAAGAGAATTTCCTGGCGGTCCAGTGGTTAGGGCTCTACGCTTCCACTGCAGGGGGCGTCCACTTCCATCCCCAGTTGGGGAACTAAGATCCCGCATGCCACGCAGCATGACCAAATTAAATAAAGATCATTAAAACACACACACACAAATTCTATTACAGTTCCTGGCATGCAGTAGAAAACTCAAAGAAAATCAGTCCCTTTTCACATCAAATGGTTAGAAAAGTAAGATGACATAGGCTTCTATTATACATAGCAGAGATGACTAATGTTTAACTACTTGCTTCATTGCAATTAGTCTTTGACAGTCGCTGTCAGTTGTCTATCCAACAGCCGCCCACTCTCCCCACCCCCGCTTCTTCCTGCCAGCAGGGCCCAGCCTCACTAGAGATATTCACTTTTCCAGACTCCCTGGCACTCAGGACTTGACTAGTTGGCAAGTGACCAAATCTTGGACAACGGGACCAGAAGGGAGAAATCTATTGGGAGGACTCTGAGATACTTTCATCTCTAACACAAAGAGATAGTCTGGAGAATATGTGCCTTTTCGTCAGCTGGACATGTGTCTTCATGTAAGACTTGAAATGCAGCAGCCGTCTTGCAACCCAGACGGGTCAAGCCTAAGACCCAGCTGGATGGCAGAGGTGGAGGGTAGAGGGAGCCTGGCTCCTTGCAGACACTGTTGAGCTGCTGAGCTTACCTTGAAACCATTCTCCTCTGAACTGTTATTGTGTAAGACATAAGTACCATAGTTTAAGGCACTCTTAGGATTCTGTAATCTGCTGCCTAATTGATACAGGATTCCTCTGGCAACATAAGGAAATGTTTACCTATGTGAATCCAATGGTGAAAGTGGTCATTCTGAATACTAATACTAATATTAAGAAGAAGAAGAAGGGGAAGAATTTTGTGAGATTTAACAATTTTCGAAGGAAATATTTCTATAATATTACATTCTTCTTTGATTCAAATATAAATATTATTTAACTCTTTCTTCATGATTCACAGTTTTATTTCAATGTACCTGCCAACAGCAATGCTTCCCTCCAGTTCTGATTTGCTTTCGTCTAGAAAATCACTTAAAAAACAACTTCTTTGCTAAACTTCTCTGACTTCAGTCTTTCTCTCCTTTTAGTCTATCGTGATTACTGATAAAATAATTTAAATTTATTTGTAAAGTTAAAGTTTAACTGGACATGGGTCTGAAAGGATCTCCTGTGAATAAACTATATGCTGGTTACAATGACTGCTACCTGATTTCTAATTTGGCTGCTCAAAAATCATTCTTCTTACCTTTTCTTTCCTCTACTGTCTTCTACGTAAGAGAAAGTTGAGTTCTGGGCAGGTGAGGTAGGACTATGTATATCACCTTTAATTCAGCAAAAGAGCTATTGTAATAATAATTATATTATTATGATAATATAATATCATATTATAGTAATGGGTTACTAATTATATACTAACCAAAAGCTTTCCTTCCCTGGTTATCTGAAGTAATGCATTGACCTCCATTCTCAGCCCCCACAACCGCCTTATCAAATAGGAAGCAGTTGAGTCTAGAGATTAGACATGCAGCCTCCAGGGTCAGACCACATGGGTTCAAAGCCTGACTCCAAGCAATAACTGCAGAATCACAACTACCCAGACTGCAAAGTGGGGTTGATAACAGTAACTAAGGAAAGACCTGTTGAGAAGGTGAAGTGAGAAAATGCTTGTGAAACCAACAGCGAGATGCTTGGTGTCCGGAAGCACTCAGCAAATGATAATGACCATTATCTCCATTTTACAGGGGAGGAAACTTGACCCTAGACTAGACAAGCAACTTAAGTAAGTGGTGGAGCAAGGACTCAAAATTAGGTGTGTAATATCCCAGAGTTCATACTCGTAGTCACACAGCGATACTCGCAATTAATATTTAATAGCTGATGGTGAAATCAGGGGAAGGTCAAATTCTTGGACTTTGGACAAGAGTGATAGGATTTATTGCAGAAATGAGACTTCAGTTCAGCATTACATCTGTTTCATAGTCTTCCCGCCAAAGAAATAAAAGGGCATCCATTCCCTCCACTTGTTTCTTAGGCAGAGTGATGCGATGTCTGTGGACTGACCACCTGGAATATGTAGTTAAGAAATTCAAATGCATAATTATTAGACCAAGACACAGTTTAATTCAAAATATGTGCTGGTTTTTAATGTAACTTCTAAATTGTGGTACTCAAATTACTTGGCCATGAAAAAGAATGAAATAAATGTCTCTGTAGCTACATGGATGGACCTAGAGATTATCATACTGAGTGAAGTGAGCCAAAGACAAATAACATATATCACTTATGTGGAATCTAAAAAATAATACAAATGAACTTATTTATAAAACAGAAACAGGGCTTCCCTGGCGGCGCAGTGGTTGCGAGTCCGCCTGCCGATGCAGGGGACACAGGTTCGTGCCCCGGTCTGGGAAGATCCCACATGCCGCGGAGCGGTTGGGCCCGTGAGCCATGGCCGCTGAACCTGTGCTACGCAACGGGAGAGGCCACAGCGGTGAGAGGCCCGTGTACCGCAAACAAACAAACAAAAAAACAGAAACAGTCTCACAGACATAGAAAACAAAGTTATGGTTACTGAAGGGGGAGGGGGGAGAAGGGGGAAGGGGGGAGGGATAAATTAGGAGTATGGGATTAACAGATATATGCTACTATATATAAAATAGCTAAACAACATGTATTTACTGTATAGCACAGGGAACTATAGTCAATGTCTTGTAATAACCTATAATGAAAAAGAATTGGAAAAAATATATATATATGTATAACTGAATCAGTTTGCTGTACACCTGAAACTAACACAATATTGTAAATCAACTATACTTCAATAAAAAAATAAAATAAATTCTGGTATTCAAAGGGCATTTCATATGCTCATAAATATACTAATTTATGATTCTGTTGTACTTTTTAAATGAGATGATTCAATTAATATCTTCATAAAACAATTAAAAATTCATAAAACATTTGGAAAATGAATTTGAAGTGTTGGGGAGAAATTCAGTTAATTTGCCAAGATAGATTCATATGAGCTTAATTGTGTTATCTTGCTGTTGAAATACTAAAATTTCCTGGAAATTATGCATTCTAAAGATAAGCCACCCATAAGCCACTAAACTCTAATATCCACTTGAACATACTTCCCTTTTTATTGCAATTTGCCTTTAAGAAAATACTATCCAAGGTAACACTCTTGCACTGTTGGTGGGAATGTAAATTGATACAGCCACTGT